ACCAGCTGTGTCAACATAGCAGGGGCCTGCCTTTAGCTGTGATCCATCCACGCATGGAAAGAACATTTCCCTTGAAAACACAGCGGTGCTACTCGCTCAAGGCCCGCCATTGGAGAATTTGGAGAGGCCCGTGTTTTCTTTCAGTGCCCGCTGGCTGCGCGACTGAATCGCTCCTCAGAGAAGCAGAGGAAACCAAAGTACATGCCCCTCCATCAGGCAGACAGCAACCCTCTGTCCCGGCTGTTTGCTGTTCTTGGCTGCTCTCCAGCTCACTCTCATCCCCTGCCCGGGTGTTAAAGCTTTTCATTAGGTTTGATTTTATTGGAGCGACGAAGCAGCGTGACTAAAGAGGCTTCAAAAGCCCTGGATGTTCCCTTGAAACGTCAGCTGTCTAGCGTGGAATGCATTTGTCTAACCCGACTAAACATGTTGTCTTCCCCCCCTCGTCTCTCATAGGTAGCTGAACCCGAAGCATCCAACTGCAACAGGCTCGACTTCCTGCGCTCTGTTGCAGGCCTGCAGATGGCTGAGGAGCTCTCTGGAGGTAAAACTTCTGACTGACTCCATCTGTGTGACATATAATATAGATGAATCTGTCAATTGAAAAAAGAAATATCGGAATATCTGCACATCTTGGAAGTCTTTTTCAGTTTCATTAATCATTTTATTGATTAAGTTTATATGTCAGGAAAAAAGCTAAAAAAACAAAAACAAAATCAAGAAAACTTTCCTGGAAGACAAGTGACAATTTAAAATGTATAGTTTTGTCCAACAGGGCTGGGTGATATGAAAAAAACAAAATCAAATATCACAATAATTTTGTACCAGTACTCCAATATTGATAGTGCAACAGTATTGTAGATTATTCACACTTTGTCATTATACCCACATTACTGCTGATTGTGAAAACATTTTGTCAAAGTGGGTAAATGCAAATAATAGAACAGCTACAACAGTCTGGTAAGTCCAGAAAATCACATCACTTTGCTGCAACGTACCCTTTAAAACCAGGAGAAGACAACACTTACAATATCCAGAATCTAAAGGCCTTTGCAGTCCTTTTTGTATGGATGCATTTTTTTTTTTAATCCGTCATCCAAAAAAAAAGTTGAATACAGAGACCTTGCGCACTGATTCTGACACTTTTTATTGTTCTATTTGTTGTGAAAATTTGCAATACATGACAAAATGAAAGACATATTTCCTCCTTTGCCTCTTTCCACTGGAGTTACGTATCTGGCTGTCCACCCCCTGTGTGCGGCCCACATCCTGCTCTTAGTCATCATCCACCTGAATATTACCATTTGACCTGTTGAAAGTGAGCTATCTGAGTCATGAAATGATTATGTCCGCCCTGCTCCTCTGTCTTGTCGCAGCTGTGTCCCACCGCCACATTTTCTTAACTGATTCTTGGTCAAACATCTCTAAAGGTTCTGACGGATGGGAAAAACGCAGAAATTTGAACCTGTACCAAAAACTTAAAGAACGGACCAAAGTTTTGGACTAAGTGTGCGAATGTGTTTGACACAAGTTGCAGTCATATTTATTTTTAGACGGACTCTGTGCAAAGGCCTTCAAGATGATATGTAGTCTTAACTGATTATATATACATGTGTCCTAGCTTCAGGTTGCTTTGTATAATCAATGATTGACATTGTGAATTTGCCTAAATGTAAGTATAAACCTGCCTGATGGATGGGACTACATGTGAGAACCAGGTGTGAAATTCCGTATGCACACATCAAATGACTCTTAGCTTTTTCAGTTCAGAATCAGACACCATTCAGATTAACAGCAAAACATTTTCAACTCCACAATAAGTGCCATTTTGAAAATGAACTCATACAATTGAAATCACAGACCACAGATCTGATCTGCCCAACCCAGGGAGCGGGACACAGATTTGTGAACTGAGTCAGGCCTGACTGCTTTATGTGCGTCTCAAAGGACTATGTGAACAAAGAGATTCATAATTACACTCTAAATGCTGTTGCCATTGAGGTTATTCAAAACAAGAAAAAAAGCAGCCCTCATCTAAAGCAGTTAGATGAGCCATTTAGCCATTCAGCACCCCATTATATATCCTCTCAGATCTTTCTAACAGCCCATCAAAGTTTATCTCTCCCCCTGTGCTCCCTCAGCACTCTCAGATGTTCATGTATCTGTAAGACTGAGGGCTCCATATCAGGACGGAGAAAGAATGGATGTATTGTGTTCAATATGTGTAACCAATGACAGGAGGGGTTACCACAAGGTAACTGGAGGAACCTGGAGGAAGTATTAACTGCATGTGTGTTGCCTCTCTCTCTCCTGTCTGTCACAGAGGCCCTGCACTTCCAGCAGAAATTGGATGAGACTACAAAGCTCCTGCATGACTTGCAGGAAGCACAGAAGGAGCGTCTGAGCGCCAAGCAGCCACCTAACATGATTTGCTTGCTGGCTCCGACTGCCAAGGAGCTAGAGCTGGGTAAGAGCCTCTCAGTGCATGGCCCCCTTTGTTCTTCCACCCTAGCCGTCTCCACCAGCTGTAGACCTCAAACACTGCTCCATTTACCTCTTTACCAGCCACCTTACACAGATGTGGTTTGTGTTGTAGCTTCACAGTTAAACAGTGATATGATTCAGATCAACACTGACCTTATTCTCAGGGATGTATTGTTTAAAGAAGCAATCACAGAGACAGATTTCTTTCTGAGTTTTAGTGTAGTGTGTGTTGTAGTGTGTTAAGGACTTGTCACTGTTTGCAGAGAAGACTGCTGTGATGTCTTCTCCTTGGATTTTACGAAGGCTAAGCTGACTATCGTTGCTCAAGCTAACGACCACTCTTTATGTCTGTGCAGTCAACATGAAGCTACAGCAGCACCCAGTTAGAGGAGCTTAGCATGAAGCCTAGAAACACATGGAAACAGGTTGCCAGGCAACCAGTGGAGATTTCAGGAAGTTGCTGCTCTCGGCCTCTGTAAAGCCACAATCATATAATCAGGGTTCCTTCACATATTAACAATCAATGTTCAAACTTTTCCATATTATTCACCTATTTCCATGACTTTATTTAAGCAGTTTGAAATGTTTAGGCCTATGTAGCAACACAGCCATACATTTTCAAAGACACACTCCCCAGGCATTTATCTGACATCTGTACATATCTGATTGAATCACTGGGTATCATTAAGTGTTGTCTGTAAATAATCAACCTGTTAGTAGCCATTCAGTTGGAGACAACACTGTGATGTGGCTATACTATCTGAGTGTAATGTGACTGCAGCGGCTTCTCACTCAAGCTAGTGCTAACTGTCTATAAATAGTAACTGTCAACAGCATCATTTAGTTATTTACCACACTGACAGTGAATATTCAGTTTGTTATGAGCTCAGATCTCAGTGTGAAAGTCTTGGTTAACCCACTGCACCATAGCTTTTTTGACATTTTCCTGTTCCTTATATGACAGCGAGATACTTTCTTGGTGATGATGCAAAGCTGGTGTGGTCTGTGTGTATTAAATGATACTGGTGACATTTTAATGGTCACACAGCATTTATACTTTTTGTTTCAATTAAATTAACAAGATAGAACGTGTTAGTGAGTTTAGAGGCACTGTCAGGGGGATTTTGTTACCTTTGGACAGAGTCAGGCTGGCTGTTTCCCTGTTTTTAGTCCTTATACTAAGCTATGCTGACCACATTCTAGTGGTGGCTTCATGAACCATACAGATATGAGAGTGGCATCCATCTTCTCATGTAACTTTTAGAAAGAAAGCACATAAGAGTATTTCCATAAAATGTCAAACTACTCCTTTAACATAACTAAGAACTTCAGTGTAAAAATGTTCTCGCTAAAGGTTGAATCATTTGCAAAATTGGCAAAACGAGCTATGATCATTTATGATTGGTCCTGTCTCCTCTTGTGTGGGCCCAGAACTATGAATCTGCCCACTCTGATTTGACTGATTTGTTTGGAATGATGACATGAAACAGTAAATTCTTGGTTGACAATTGATTGATCCACTAAGCACTGTGGGTGGACGAATGCTGTTGTCAAGCATAATAACAATGGCAAGCAGGCAAAAAAGATGCTGCTATTGTTAAATTGTTTCTTAGTATGATTTTAGTCTTAACTTGGCTCTGCTCTGCTCTTAAAACACAAGCAAAACCGGTATGACTGTACATCAGTACAATACATCAGTGTTAACTTGAGACGATGGTAGATTCAGGCAGATATGTTGGTCTCTGGTGATTGGTCAGGGAAAATCAACCCCCCCAATCCCCCACAGAAATTGATTAAAGTGGACCTAATGTCAGACTGGAGATGGTATCAGGACATGTTTCCTCCAGTGCAAATACACTGTTATATAATTTCTTGTCTTGTTAATGTTCCCTTTGTCTCTTCCTTTGTCTGCAGCTGAGAAGGTGACTGGGAACTTGGCTGAGCTCACTGGTCAAGTGGCCCCGTGTGATGTCAGCAGTGTGTACGGCATCAGGAAGGCCATGGGCATCGCTTTACCTCCAGAACCACCTGGGCCCTTCATTGACCTCACCACAGGTAAATTACCTTACAGGACATACTGAAATACCATTTGTGGTTGTCTGTGTGTTAAATAACATCAGTGGTGGAATGTAACTGAGTACATTTGCTCAACTACTGAACTGAAGTACAAATTTAAGGTACCTGCAGTCAAGTCTTTCCATGGCACTTTCAACATCTACTCCACTGTGTCTCAGAGGGAAATATTACACTATTAACTCTATTACAATTATTTGAGCTCAGAATCTAATATTTGACTTTTCATTGTTTTCAGTGCAGGAGATGGCTGAACCAATGGAGATCATGTCCAGTGGCCAGGACACAGCTCCAGTCACGGCTGTTTAATTAAAGTTACAGTTAAATAAGTTAAGTTTTGTACGAAAGGTGCTTTTTGTGTGACATTTGTATGCATTTCACTCAATAAACTTTTTTTAATAAAAAAACCTCACCTCTTGTGATATATGAAATGACAGACTGCGGACTTAGGAAAACATTTATTACATTCTGCAACTGTACAAAATTCAATGTCACATTTGTTCACATGAAGGCCAATACATTATTATTATTGTCATCATTATTATTATTAATTTGTAACCACAATTACAGACATGATGACGGTCTCAAAAGATAAGGCCACAAAACAGATCAAGTTTTCAGAGAAACACGGAGCGATCGACATCAGTTCAGGTGAGCGTCTGAGCTGGAGTCAGAAAAACATTCACAGCAGGCAGGTTGTTAGATCACACACACACTGAGGACACCACGGAGAGCGTCACAGGTTTCCCTCATTGCGGCGTAAATGCAGACAAGCAGTATAAACACAAAGAGGTGATGCACATACAGCACATGGATTTCTGAGTTTCCTCTTGAAATGCAGCACATATCTCATGGTATAAGTCAAATTCAACAGTTGGTACTGTCAAACTACACAGCTAGAACCTAAAAGATGTTCACATCAAGAGCAGAAGTGTTGGTACAGTAACTTTAGCATCTGCAGCTCAGCCAGAAAGTGAAACACTACTTTTCATGATGTGAATGTCCCAAACAAAGGCGCAAGAAGAGTTTTTCTCTCTAACTTCATCTGTCCAGCCTGTTTCTGTTAATGAAACGGCTCTGTCTAACCACTTCACATATGTCATGCTCGTTACACAGTAACAGAGCAGTGGGTCCATCCCCCCCTCAAAACATGAAAACCAGATGGGTTTCAAATTATGATCCAAACAGAATCCATGGTTTTGTTTTTAAAGGACCAGAGAGGTCTTCAAAAGTGACACAACTGTATTTGGCATTAGGACAAAACACACTTTTTCAATCGCAAACATCTAAGTTAAAGACAAAGAAAAAAGTACAAAAGTGAACGATCACTGAACGTAAATGTGTTTATGAGTAGAAAAAGACGGTGATTGTACGTACTGACCATCTCCACCACGACTGCCACACGACTGCCACACCTCCATTCAACAGGTCCGGAGTAGCAAGTGTCGACTTGGTGTCACATCCACCACGCAGCGAAGCCTTAGTATTTTCATTCATTAACATCGTAGGAACACAGCTGCATCACAGTCAGTTCTGTCTCAACACTTGTGGTGCGCAGGAGTCTGTAAACGCTTGTGTACACAAGTCTGTCTCCAGTTGTGCTGGCTGTGGCGGCCTGGCCTCAGCTCAGCCCCATACCTTGCTGCTTGCTCATGTCGGTGCACACAAAGAAGGTTTTCAGCTCCCCTTTGCCCTTCACGTTAATGAACCCTCGACACTCGCACGAGTAGCCCAGCTTCTGCAGCACATCGGTTGTTTCCTCTGTCACCTGGAAGTACAGTAGAATAAACTTCAATGTCCCCAAGGGAAAATGTGTCTTCAACACAGCGCTACAGTCCATTACATCACAAAAACAACATGAAGATATTTTACAACATAAGAGAAATTTGACATGGACAACACGGCATCTGAAAAGGGAACCTGCATTTTTCTCTACTGCACCAAGATTTTGCGTTAGCGTCAGCAGCCTGATGGAGGCTGGAGCAAACAATAGCCTCAAGCGGTTTGATTTGACAGTCTTCTCCCTGATGGCAGAGGTTTGTGCTCCGAAATGTTGAGAGTCCCAAATGTTTTTGTCACTTGTTTAATGGCTGCCTTCCTGTTCAGGATCTGTATGGGCTCTTATTCTTTCTCCCCCATTACCTGCATAGCTGTTTCGTGGATGCTGGCAAGCCTGCTTTTCCGTTGCGCTGTTGGGTTACCAAACCATGCTGTGACTCCGAATCTAATGATGCTCTATGGTAGATACAGAACCGCAACTGCAGCCAAGAAATCTAACAAGTCTACTGTGAAGAGCACGTTTGTAACATTTCATGTGTGTTGTTGCTAAATAGTTACATCTGGAATTAAAGGAGTTCAATATACATAGCGAGAACTTCCTTGCAACAAAAAGTATCACCTGACTTCTCTTACTTAATGCACATATTGATTTACAACTTCATTATGGCAACGTTATATTGTTGCCATGGTAGTACTACATTTTGTGAGAGGTGCCATCAGCAGAGGTAAAGTAATTCAAGTCATCTCTCAGGTGAGAGCATGAATTTTGACACACGGCAATAAAGTGCAATTGCAGCTGGAAATGAGATGTTCTTATGACTGGCCCAGGATGGAATTTTTTCTGTCGCTGTTAAAAGCAGATGAAGAAATCAGGACCGGAGACTGTAATTGGATCTTATAAATCCAGCCATGATTGTGATGAGATCTGCGATACAAAGCTAAGCAGCAATGACTGTGAGAAGTGACGTGACCATTTGACCTTCAAGGACACCAGATGAAATATTGCTGTTGGATTGTTATGAACGTTCTGTACCTGGATCTTTCCCAGCTCCCCGGTGCTCTCCATTCTGCTGGCTACGTTCACAGTATTGCCCCAGATATCGTACTGAGGTTTCCTCGCCCCGATCACTCCGGCTATCACCGGGCCGTGATTAATACCTGTGGAAGAACAATAATATTTGATGATCATGTTCATGTGCAGCATTTACACAGAAAGTAAGAGGGTGTAGAATTAAACCACAGGATGAAATATAAGATTCAAGAAGAGTGGTTGCACACTGGCTTTGTTGGTAGTTAAGGGATCTACTAGAAAAGGAAATTTTAATTTATTAATACAATGCTGTTGTCAAGGACATTTTCTGAGTGGCTCGTATCTTTTGTGCAGGAGATACTTACTGAAAAGGCTTTGGACAATACTGCAGCTGTTCTTAAAAGGATGTCAATGATTTGTGAAATATCAAACACTACATGAAATGCTTGAAAGGCTAAGGCATTAAACATTCACAGCATCTATTAACAAGTTTGAGTGTTAAAACTGGGAGAGGCATCAGCTTGTTTCATGGCTAATCACATTAAAATGGACGGGGATTCTTTGGATTTGCTTCATTTACATCTGAGAAAATAAGTGATCTATTCTTTGGGAATTCCTTCACATTTAAAATACACTTGAAACCCTTCAAAACACTTGGCAGCACTTTATGCTTTAAAGCCAGACTACAGATCTTTTAAGATGAAACAACACAATCTTTTTGTTACAAATGAAAAGCTGAATTCCTAAGAAAACCTTCAATATGTGAAGCGGTTGTGCAGCTGCAGCCTTACTATGAGCTGTAACCAGTGGTTACTAATGTTTGCAAACATGAGATGGTTATTGTTGAGAAATTAACCTTACTGAGTCACGTCTCTGGCTTTTGACTCTTCCTCTTTTTGTGATGCTGTCACACTGTGTTATAGCATTTATTATCATCCTGTAAGTTCAATTGTGGCTACAGTTGCTGATGTTCAGTAAAGTCACACAGTAATGTTATTAAGAGAAGGGGAGATCAGTTTCGTTTTATTCTGTTACGCTGACTTTCAATGCAAAACAATGAAGTAGTTAAGAAGCTGTTCACACCTGGAAAGACCAATATGCCAACTACATTATCATTTAATTGGATTTCCTTGTGAAACTGGCAGCAGAGGAATTACAAAAGCATGATGACACTGCTAAAAAACAATAACACTGCTTTTTGTTTCAAAAGAGGATTTAGTTTCAGTCGCACAGTGTTTAGACATGGCTGCTGATAAGAGGTTTTATACCACTCAAAACAAATTTCAGTGTTTGTGCTTTATGTATGTTTTTATCTCCCGAGAAATGTAAATGTTTCAACCAAACCTTTTATCATGTAAGCTGTCTGCTCATAATCAGATGTCTGGGAATAACTGTGTCAGGACTGCAGACACAGACAGAGGTTCAAGGTTCTCGACACTCGTCTGGGTTCTGTCTCTATGTCACTGCTTGAGTATGACGTTCACTTTATGTATTATTAGATCTTCTGAAAGGTAAAATATGTAATATTTTTCTATTAAATGTCTAAAAATGACGAGACCAAGGTTCTATCTTTTGAGAAATCTGTAATTTTATTCAAGGTAACAGTGTGTTTCTTTTAGTTGCCTGTTAATGATGTCACATAACCTTTACCCCCTGTAGTTGCTCTGACTGCCAGGGGAACACCAGATGATACGTCAGAGAGGGAGAAAGGCATCACCGAAGTCTGTCTTTTGTTAGTGTTTTGATTGAAAGAATCCTAGCAGCAGAAATAACTTACTTAGCGTTAAGAAGTTAACCACAGTAAGTGGAAATATAAAATAAGCTCCTTGACCCTCGCCATTACAAAGCAGATACCCCAAATTTCTGTCAAAGGTTACAGTACATTAGATTGTTAAGGTGGGTTCACTTCTGCCTCAGTCCTGAGTGCAACACAACCTAAAAATCGAGTGTCAGTGAATGCACCTGCTCTCATGGCCAGAACACTACACAGATGCCAATCATGCACAGTGTAACCAAGGAAACCTGTTGGGTTATTGCGTCAGTCCTAACAGAGCTGGATACAGAGCAGTGCAGTATTTAGTCAATGAAAGGTTGGTGCTGAAGCCCACACTCACCCACACGAAGCCTGAAGCTATTGAAGGAATGCCTGTTGATGCCGTCCAACTTGCCAATCAGAGCAATGGCAAACTCCACCATGATGCCTATCTGGGCCTGTTGCTTTTCTCTGTCCTGAAATAACAGATTCAATTACCTCATTATGACTGCTTCCAGCTTCATGGTTTTTATGACAGGGTGATGACTTGCTAAGAAACAGTTAACAAAGCTGATTTGACCCGAGTATGACCCCCGGCCTGAAGCAGTTGCTACTCCACCTGATTGTTCTCCTGACCAGGCGTCCCACTAAGCCCTGCAGCAGCCATGTAAGTGCTGCCAATTGTCTTGATCTTCTCCACACCGCTGAACTTCGGTTTGGACAGCAGCTGTTAAGTTAGAGAAAAACAAAGGGTGCTGAGAGGGAATTTTCACATCCCTGCCTTCATTATTTATTTACAGTATTTATTCTTGTTGCCATGTTTAACTCTTATTCTTCAGCATGACTTTAGATAATAATACTGTTTCTGCCCATGAGGGTCCACATTAACACTCAGAATCAGCATAAGTGCACAAACAGAGCTACTGAAAACAGTTTAGGGGCTTTAAAGACAAATATGTCATGTATCATAGAGATGCACTTGGTAATGAACTGAGGGATGGGGATACAAGAGTCTTCTGTGTCCTCCTGACCTCGTCAAAGTCAGCGATGATCTCGTTCAGGAGCCTCAGGCATTCCAGGCCCTCCTTGTTGATATCACACTCGGTGTAAAACTCTTTGAAATCTGGCACTGAGGCAAACATCACACAGACGCAGTCATACGACTTATAGTAGAGGTCCTGTCAGGGGAAAATAAAAAAACAAAAAAATTCAGAAAGCACAGCCAATAGTTTCACTCAGAAGGAGACTGAAATAAAGTTTTCAGACAGGCTTCCTGTAACTACTACTATTGATGATACAACAACTCACAGTTACATATTTTTCCTCTTAACAAAAGTGTTATTCATCGGTCTAGATTGTTTTGGCGAGACATCAGCTGTAGAGATGTCTGCTTTTTCTTGTATATAATGGATCTAGATGGCACTTGGCTTGTGGTGCTCAAAGCACACACACACACAAAAATACATGTGAAAAACTCAACAGTAATGTCTCTTTCCAGAAATCATGACCCAGTTACTCAAGATAATCCACAGACATGGTGTGAGCAGTTTCATGTAGGAGCTATTTTCCTTCTACCGAACTACAGCCGTCAACTGTATCACCGCGCAGAAAGAAGCATGCATCTACTGCTAGCTCACTTAGCACCACTGAGCTAGCTAATGTTACAGCTAAGCTGAGGAGGACGCCATTAATGTTAGCATCTCGCCTCCTGAGCTGAATAATATATTATCACTAATCATACAGCACATAATGAACAGGGATCCCCGCCTCTCACCTCATTCTTTTTATTCTCCCCAACAAAGAGCGCTGCCACGTGGGCCGGCAGCACATTCTCCAGCAGCAGGCGGTTCAGGTTCTCCCTGGTCTCGATCTCATCCTGCTCTGTGCGGTTCTTATACTTTAACAGGAAGTCCTGGCGAAAGCAGGACTCATTCTAGCAGACAGAAACACAATGAGTGAAAATGAAGGAAAACACAACTTTAAAAAATGTCAATGGATTTTTCCTGGATATCTCGAAGCCTTGTTGATTTATTTATTCCCAAATTTTGAATACTTGTTAGCGTTTTACAACTGATGGACGGCAGGAACAGATAAATATGTTCCAGACATAGATAAATTTACAATAACAAACACACAAAATACTTTAATGATCTGAATGCGAATATACAGACTCCATCTGCACATTTATACTTTTAATCTGCTAATATGTTTTCAGTTTGGGATGTGAGGGGTAAAACTGAGGTGAGGACAGTCATTACCTGTTGTGAGATGATGAGCATGGTGACCAGAAACAGGGTGATATATATGCAGCTCATCACCTGGGGGTGTTTCACCAGCCCTATCAAGCTCAAGATGACGCTACCGTTGCTGTAGAACAAACGAGAACATTCATGGCTGCACTTTGCTTCCATTTACACATTTTACGCACCATAATTTTAATATAATAATATAATGTCTCTTTATGGAACTGTGACTTTAACCACCAGCACTGATTGATTAAGTTATCATAAGGTGGTACTCACTAAACTCCTCTGACACATTTGCTTTCTACATTCAGTCCCACCTGCTGCAGTTGCAGTCCTCGAGCTGCTGATAGCAGAGGACCTTTCCGTAGACCACAAAGAGTTCCTTCTTGGTGCTGAGGATGATGATGTAGTATGCGGTGGAGGCCAGGGTGAGGAAGAGCACTTTGAGCTCAAAGCTCACCCGGAGGAAGACTCCACATGCAACGAGTGACAGGATGCAGCAGTACACGGAATACTGAGAGAGAGGAAGCCAAGGAATTAGAGTCAAACAACAATAGCGACAGATCTGATCATTTATTTTCACAACCCTTATTTGGCATTTATAAGCAGCATAAAAACAATAGATAAAATGTTTTATAACACACTATTATGTGACTGTAAGCAGAGATCAGGACTTTTTTTTTTTAATTTTGCAAAGTATAACTCTGTGAAGCATCATGTCTTCTCTGGTACTCAATTAAACATGCCGGAACTATTTGCAAATACTATTTAATCCAGTCTGATATGAAAAAATAAATAATGCCATTTCATTATTGTCTGTGGTTAACAAATCCATCACTCACTGGCAGGTAGAAGAGACTTTCCTCTAATCCTTGCTCATGGGAATCATTGTGATGCAGGTCACCAATATCAGTGGGACACTCTGTCTGTGGCGTCTGGATGAAGCACTGCAGAGGGATAAAAACATTTGACTGACAGGCAACCACTGGACACCGTGCTTTGAAGTCTGGTATGGCAACAATGAAGTGTGGCACAGCTAGAAATAGCAGGGTCTATAATGACCCTCTCATTGCTGTCGACATGTGAGCGCAGTCTTACACAGAAGCCAAGAATGACCGCGCTTGCTTTTTTTTTTTCTTTTTTTAATGTCACTATCTCAAGATCACAAGTTCATTATTTCGTTATCATGAGAAAACGGGCTTTACAATTTAGAGATAACAAGATAAACAACCCCATATCATGAGAATAAATGATCGATGTCTCTTATTACTTCTGTTTATCAGAGATCCAGAGTGCCATGCCAGCACGCTCAGACGATCTCTTGTCAATCCATTATTTGTCATCGCATTAGACTACATTTCAGTCGAGGGCTAACACAGGCAGAGTTATGTATCAGGTATGAATAACCAGACACGCATATTGAAACTTAAGTTGTTTTCTCGTGATTAACTATTTTACCTTGAGAAGATGGGCCTTTTGGTTTCCTCAAGAATGGACATAAATTAACACATTATCACAAGAAAACAAGCTTCTGTTATCTCAAGATAACAAAATAATTAACTTGTGATCTTGAAATAACAGCATTACAAATATAATTGCAAGGACGGCTGTTCTCGGCTTCAGTAGACTTACCAGGTTGAAAACTGCCAAGATAACGATGACCGCGGCAGTGATGGTGGCCAGTGGGAGGCGCACACACGGCCGCTTTACCACCGCCTCCGACACAGCTGGCAGCCACTGGCACCTCGACAGCTTCTCTGGAAAGAGGCGCTGCAGAGGAGACAGAGAAGTTTGGAGAAATATGGAATCAAACAGGTATGAGGAGCATGTGGCTTTTACATAGTCATGCATCTCCAGACATCATGTGTGAGTGAGTCACCGCTGGCTATTTCCAGTGAAGGAATCTGTGTGAGAGGAGAAAACCGACCTGTCAAGGACTAACTGTCAGGTGTCATCCACCAAGTCAGTAGGTCAGCTATAGAAAGCTACAGCACAGTAAATGCAAGGGATAGCTTCCAAGCCATGTTTCCATTCTCATACACACACTAATTCTGGCAGTGAAACACATACAGTATGCACACACACCACACACATAGGTTCACACATCCTTTTCACGTTTGCCTTTATTTGCAAAGCTGTTCCCTTTGGTATTGTGTTTGTGTTTTTGACCTATGGACCTCTCATAGTTGGCTGCAAGCTAATGTTTGATATCTTGATCATTCTTTTCTTCTCTTACTTTAGATGCAGACAAACAAGAGCACTCTTAGGACACACTGATGTTGTCTTACATTGCTTACCAAAAGCTCTGCATTATCTAAAAAATGCAAGGTCATGGTGAAACCTTAAGTAATGGTATGATTACATTTTTTTCTGAAGAATGTTTCAGTGTTTCTCTTTAAATATAAAAGCCTGCTGCTTTTAATTTAAAAGAACGGCAGAAATGGTTTTCCAAATTACACCGCCTGACCCAGAATGCATGCATTTTTTTTTTTTTTTTTTAGAAATTAAAGTTCATTTTTTGACCTTGGAAATAGCAGTTCCCACAACAATGTTAGTGCAAGGTTAGTAGCTGCTTGTTGGATAGCACAGGCCAAATAATAGGGAGGAGATGGTGAGTAAGATGACATCCTTCCTGAAGGCTTGCCATTTTTTTGGCATTCATCTTGTGTGGCCTTCATACGACAGTATTATAATAATCTATAAAGAATTTCACACTTATTTTTCACTTTTCAAGTGCAAGGAAATTGAAGTCACTGAATAACACTTGAGAGCAAAACCCTTGTGAGTCACACAGATGTAATGTGAGTCAGAGTCAAGCCAGCATTACACAATGTGGGACTAGAACGAGTGTTGCTGGACATATGACAACTCTTTCATACTGACGCTTGACCTGCATCCATGTGGGTTGAGAGGCTGTTGTAAAAGTTGGACACACTGGCTGCACCTGTGAGGCTTTCTTTCCCCCACTTTCTACAAACCTTGAGGCTAACTGGGACAAACAGCCTGAAAGAGCGGAAACTTGAACTTCAATCACCTGAATATCTAAACGTCAATGTAAGACTTAACACTGACCTGAAAGTGACCCGCAAAACAGATGGCCAGGGTCAGCAGCAGCACACAGACCAACACTCCAAATGACATCGCCAACATCTGTCGACTGAGGGAGATGAAAAGTGTGTCAAAGATCCAGCCTCAAATATTATCTTCACAGTGTTTCTTCTTCCCAGATGGACTACATTATAGCTGCTGACAACTTGATGATTGATTCTTTATTAACGGAGGAAAATCCAGTCATACTCACTCCTTTGTGACGAACATCTGAACCAAAAAAATGCAGAGGAAGATGAAGGTGGCACAGCCAACATAGTGTTTGAACATTGGCAAGTCCAGGGCTCGGTACTTAGAAGAGGAAAAACAGAAGAAACCTTAGACATCACAGCACCAGGATGTTTGAATGGAAAGTTGTTACAGTAAATGGTTTTAATGGTCTTTTTTGCAGCTTTGTGTTAAACTAACCTGTTTTTCCAGATCTTTCTTTAGAAACCACACATTTAAACCGCCATTCTCTTCAGACTTAGACCACTGCCTGAGAGAGAGGAAGGGAGGAAGACAGAGAGAATGTTTGTAACAAATTTACCAAACAATTCATCCAATAGTTGTTGAAACATTTCATTCAAAACCACAAATGTCAACCTCATGGTAGCGCTGGAGGGAAAGTCAGTAAGATTCATCATCTAGTAACTATGAATGCACAAAATGTAATGACAATCTATTTTATAGTTGCTGACATATTTCAGTTGGGATCAAGATGTACTGGTGGACTGACCTATCAGTAACTGACAAACCAATACTGCCATGCATAGAGCATCGCCATTAGCGTGGCTAAAACTCTAAGATAGTGGTCAAATTTTACTTGATATCACACACTAAAATTTGAGAACTTAGAGCCAGATCTCAACAACAGAAATCTGTGACACTGACATGCCTACATTTCAAAGATTCTGCAAACCATCAGTAATGGTTGATGGGATACTAGTCAGTTACACTTGTTAATAAAATGATAATTTCATGCAATTACATTCCCTGAATGAAATTGTTTATAATGCGAAGTTCAAAGTGCCACACATTTCAATGGCATTTAAAATACAATTAAAAATTGTGCTTGTTGCTTTTGACCGTTTTCTGATTGTTTGTTACATTTAGACTCATCAAGTAGTCTAAGTTTAAACTTTATTTTAACTTTGGGGATATTTTTTCCATTACCTGCTTTATCATCAAAGTGCAAACTGGTTAAATGTGTTAACTCATAGAGAACAGTGTAGCTGAAATCTTTCTGCCACGTGCAAATTCATCCTTTAGTCATACCCTTTATCCTTTAGTAACTTGGGTGACATAATTTTCTAAAATATACCACAAGACAAAAACGTGATTTGACATGGAAAAATTGACCTACTTGCTGCTGAGCTCATCTATGGTGGTAGTCATCTCGTTGTGCAGCTCCTCATCAAACTTACTCTTCTGGGATTTGTTCCTGCACCGGAAAGCACAGAGACAATTAGGACGAGGCAGACGGACACACACTGAAACACTCAAGCTGACTGGAACAGATGCTGGGAAACCAGATCAGGCCATGCAGGTTACTCAGGTCCGGTTTAGCTGTGCTTGGAGGCAACGTGGTTAATGCCATTCTGAGCATTAGTGAGAAAAGAGAAATATGGTTCGTAGGAGGATTGTGCCGGATGCAGAATGTTGTGTGTTAGATGATCTGTGTGGGATTTAGCGGGAGTGTTTCTGCCGTGCTTCTGCTTGGAAAACCCCTACTCCATCAGGAAGGAAACACTCACACAGATGCACAGACCCAGATACACACGAGCCCCCGTCAGTGATCAATGTTAATAGGAGCATGTCAGTCCACTAACAGAAGTTACAGGGTTTCTTGTGGTTTTTGAGATCATTTGTTGCCCTTTTACAAAGAGGCAGCAGTGAGAAACAAGAGAAGAACAGTATTACACCACTGCTCAGGTTAGTGTTAGGACAGCAAGGCTCTCTGTGAAGGCAATAGTTCTCACCCTGCAGGACAGGGCATCATGCAGACAATCTTTGGAATGTCTCACAGAACGATTTAAAAGGTCGATGTGAATTATATTTGTTATAATGGATATTCATATTCCTTTTCTGTCGTTCTTGGTACTAACCTGCCATTTAAAACAATGGCAGAAACTCGAAATACTTATTTAAAATATGTGAACGCTCACCATCTTTTGTATCTATACATTAAACAAGTGGCTATGTTTGTTTTTAGAGGTCACAAGCCAAAAGGTTGAGAACTATTGCACTGAGGGAATGAGGACCTTGCGGGCCATGAAAGCCCAACTCACTTATAGCTGCTGAACGAAGGGGTAGGCAAGGAGAACGGTTCCTCTAGAGACTCATCAAAGCTGTCAGGGCCCAACAAACACACAATACACAAACACAAATTCATCACAACAGAGCAGTGGGGAGCTGATCAATTAGGTGTGAAAATCCACCCATAACAGTTTATAACCGCTAGATACATGCTTGTGAACAGAACCCCCCCCCCAAAAAAAAAAAACACCCTGCTATGTAATGTCATCAAGCTTAAGTGAGTGCACCTCATTTTACTGTCACTTCAGCCTCAGACATGTTCACCAGCTGCTGCCTCTGCTACAGCGGACTGTGAATACATGAATGAAATCAACAATTTCCAAGATAAAACAAATCTCCATTCTCACAGGGTGGAATGCTTGTGCTTTTAGGCACACACTTATCTTTTCTAATCACATTACTCCAGCCCACAATGTTTGTGTAGATGAGTCCTGTCCGCTAATCAGCTGCTACACTTTAAATATTTGCCTGTACGCTTACTGCCTGTGCCAGACGGGCAGAGAGAATTAACCATTATAAGCTACAACCATAATCAATTTGTCTATGTATTATTCGAAGCTAATGGAAGGGCTCATTATGGAGCTCAGCACTCCCACCACGCTGCAGAAGTGATTGCCAAAGCACCGGCGCTGTACTAAGCAGACTCATGGTGACGATGTTTTATTGGCAAATGTTTGAGCCTAAACTCCTCTGATACTCTTTTTGCTTTGGGAAAATATGTTGAATTATGGTCAAATAATGTTTGATTTTAATAACAATGCGACTATAATCATCTCCACTGGGATGCTCATGAGTTTTTACCTACTTAATAATCAATCAGTAATAATTCAGAGGGCAGAACACCTTTTATCTCATAAATACCAAAACACCAAATCCTGCCTGCTCACTCTAAATCATTATAGATCTGTCCATTAACTGGATACTGAATGTTTAAAAATGTTTAAAATATTTTCATTTTTTCATTATTTGTTTTCTATGTTTCAAGGCTCTTTTAGCTAAGTTGACTCCGTGTTTAGGCGGGCGGGTGGTAGATATGTTTCCATTTAAAAAATGGAAATATAAGTACATTTTTCACTGTATTTTGTGCTTGCCAGCATTTCCAAATAAAAACCTTTAAGTAAAAGGGAGAAAAGTATAACATAGAAAAAGTGTAAGACATGTAAGTCAAAAAAAAATTTGCCTGACATTGACTCTTGACTGTGATTACCACCATAATACATACACAATACATAATACATCAGTCCATCAAAATTTCTAAGCTCTCATGAAAAGCATTCATCTTACACATTATGATAATCTCTGTGCGTACAGCTGATCATTGCAAATAATGTATTGCCTGCCAGAAAGATAATAAACTATCCTTCTAAACACTTGGACATACTGTATTATAAAATATTGTTAATGAAATGCGATGGAGCCGTGACCGGTTCAGATTCCACGAACAGATGGAAAAGTCCTGGCAGCAAAAGTTGATGGGAAACACTTGATGGTATTGAGCAACAGTGTTGTTACACAGGCAGAGTTCCAGGCTGAATGAGTGTGAGCACACTCACTCTGTTACATTTTAATATACAGTTAAAAATAATATTCACCAAATGGGGACATGACTTCATTTAGTAGCTGCTGCAGCAGCTCAGAGTTGCTCTTACCTCTCAGTGATCTTGGAGCTGGGGGCTGCTCGTAAAGGGATGTCCTGGAAAACACAGGGACAGCACTCACCCAATAGGAATGCATGATAATGTGATTGCTGAAGGCCAAATCCACTAAGACACATCCAACTTTTTCATTTAAGAAACACTTGAACCTCTCACAAGAACATGATAACCATGTCATTGTGTGCAGTTATTCATCACAAAATGAGAAAATCAGAAAATCACAACATTGATCGAAATCAAGTTTAAAGTCTCTCATACTTGCCTAAAGCTTTTAACATCTTACATCAAATAATTAACACAGCAAGACCATGACTTGTATCTGCGCACTCCTAAACGTGGGTTCCAGCACAGGGGTACTTGTTGCCTTAATAACAATATCAACAACCATGTGCTTACCTTGAAGCGTGTCTTGCCATTAACAATAGCGTCTGGGGTGAAGCCCTCTCGGCTCTGAAGGTGGGCGAAGGGTTTAACAGCCCCCCAAGATTCCAGGTAGCGGGTCATACGCACTGACGCTCTCATCTTCAGACCATCATTCACCCGAGGTTTAGGCACAGTACGGCTGTTCGTTGACGGGTCCTTAGACTTAATACACAAACACACACACAACAACAATACATTTAGAGTACATTGTGGTCATAAGTTGAAGCTCAGAGGAACAGAAATTAGGGTGAGTACATTTCTAAATCCTTAAGGTTATTCGAGAGCACTCAGGGATGGCATAGCCCCACTGAGGCTGTGCAATCACTAAATTTGGTATGAACATTTTTCAACCTGGACCTGGATCAAGTTCTTCAAGAGTTTTGAACTGAATTCCATCCAATTCTGCAGGACTGCTCAGAGCTGATATGTGCATGGGTCATCTAAATTTGGTTACAAGTGCACATTGCATTGGAAAAGTTTAATGTACCAAATCTGGTGTGGGGGGAATTTATCGGCAGAGTGATAACTGAAGTGTTTTGCCAAAAACAAAAAACAAACAAACAAAAAAAACCCCTAAATGGCAGAAAAACCATTTCTGCAGTAATGGTGTGCATGAATCCTTTCAGTGCCCAATGAGTTTAGATATCCAGGAAAAAAGAAATTTTCTTGTACACCTCATGGTTCATCTCAGGAGCATTGCAATAGCAACTACTATGGAAAAACAAGTTAAATTATTTTTTTCTCTTAATATAATTAAACCAGTAAATATTTATAAGAGCAGGTGCTTTCAAATGCAACATGTTCCTCATTCTTTCCCTTACTATGTTTATTTTGGAGAAAGATTAATAAAGAACTCACCCGTGGATCAATAACCAGGTAGGTCTGGACGTTGAGCTCTTTCAGATAGGGGTCCCTGAGATGGCCATTGCCGTCTTCCACTTCGTAAGCCTTGTTCAGGTGCTTCAGAGTCGCCTCTGTGATGTGGACACGTCTGACCGAGTGAGGAAAGAGCAACAGAAAGACGGAAAGTCTTAGCATGGAGTATGTGAGATTAGTCAATGGTGCTTATTTGTTGCAGTTACACTTTTGGATTCACCATTGTGACTGTTCCCTTTGATAAATTTTAGTTTTTGTATAGAAGACAATTTAACTGTTTGATTAAGGAAGTGGAGAAATGTTAATATTTTTACTTCAAAAGAAGATAGCCATCCTTGTCAAAGAGAACATTTACAAAATCTTGTTAAGAAAAAAGAAATATTGAGTATCTAGGGTTACACTAAGGCAAGAGACGTGTAAAATGTTATAATGGAATTGGTTTTATGAAATTAATTTTTATCAGAGTTGTATTATGTATCACCCCCACAAGTAACTGAACCTCAACATTAAACTGTGTGACACTTTGTTGCTTAAAGAACAAAGTGTATTGTTTTTTTTTTTTTTTATAATGCTGATATTGCATCATGAGATTTTCAGTTGGTCTCTGGTAAAACATTACAAAAAAATAATGGAATTCAAACATGAACGCAACAAAATGAATCATCATGTAGTATTATCAAGATCTGGAGCTTAACATGATAAATGTCGCAATATTTCTATATAATATTTATATTTGTCAAAATTCAATCTAAATTCAAAGATATCAGCTAGCGTTTGATGGACTGGCCTTTTAGATTCCTGATGTTAAAAGTAAACTAATCACAGGTCTTTAAAATAACATGTATGGTCATCTACCATCTAGTCAGGATAGATTTGTATAGCTTTGATGTTTCATGGTAACAGGCAACATCTACAGTCAAGTGACAAATTAAAGGAAAACCTGAATAAATGAGTAAAAACAAAACAAATTAAACAGTTAACATCCAATCATACTCTGTGGTGGCATGTATAAGTCATTAACCAGATCACAACAGAGTGGAACACCTATCTGAGATTTGGGACCAACATGTTAGACAGCGCTCTCCACCACCATCATCAAAACACCAAATGAGGGAATATCTTATGACAGAATGATATTCTTCCGTAGAGATCTTCTCTACCGTCTTCAGTAGAGATCCAGAGAGTTGGAGCATCAATGCAAAGAAGCATTAAACTTATCCTGGTAGCACATGGCAGTCCAGCACCTTACTAAGAAACTTCACATTGGTTTTCCCTTTACTTGGTCACAGGTCTATACTTTTGTATGGCAATATGACCATATGATACATAAATGTGTATATGAAATGAAATTCATGATACAAAAGTACTGCAACCTACCCTGGAAGGCCTCCTGACTCCATGTGATTGGCCAGCGTGACATCATGTGACCACACGTCAAACTGCCACTTGCGAAGGCCGATGACACCACAGAGCACATTGCCTGAGTGCACGCCCACTCTCATGTTAATATCCACTCCGGTGGCCTCCCGTACCTGCCTGGAGGAATGTCACAGCAATACTTATACTCATTGTTGTTGACGGTTATTTCTATATACAGAACAGTGTCTTTTAGGTCATATAAACAGTCTGAGGATGACATCATATGCGTCTATGTTGTCTGTCTCTAACAGTCCTACTCAACACCTGACAAAAAAATCACCCACTGGAGCACAGTCAGCATTCACTCAGAGCTTCCTGCTGTTTTAAAACACACTTTTAAGTGTAAACAGACAAGGTTTTTACTTTAACTTATCATTATTAATTAAATGTTGATTGTACAATGTAATGGTTACAAAATTATGACACCACTGACATTAAGATTGATTTCATATAACCCTCACTTTCGCTATGCAATTCTGTCTGCTACCAGGTACGATCTCCCAGGAAAATGAAGGCTCGATTTGTGCTGCAAAGGAAGTGCTTCAACCATGGCGCAACTGGAACAGAAGGAGGATAGCTCTTTCGTTTCAAAAAGTTCCAAAAAGTATTTAGCTATTTGGCTGCCTCTTAGCAAAATGTTCTAAGTGAGTTTATGTTCCCTCTGGTAAGTGGTGACGCAGTGTATATGTCTGGGGCTGTTACTGTGAAGGGGAAGGAAAAAGAGTTTGCCTTCTTGGTTCAGACTCCGGAGCGTCTGTGATATTATTTTTAATAATAACACACATAAGTATAGGCACAACTCATGACCTCGGCTACAGTGTCAATGTAGGCTCTTTTGCAGTTACTATCCCCAGTAGCAGAAATTGGGGACGGTGGAACAATCAATGTAACTGTGGAAACTTTGGTAGTTGCTAGGCTCGGAGAAAAAACAGAAAGCGATCTGGTTGTCTTTGCAAGAGCGCCGCCAATAATAATACCACATGGAAACACTAGGGGGAAGTTTAAAAAATTGTCTGTTTCCACTGTAACATGACATGTTTTTTTCTACATTTATGATCAAACTGTTTCTGAAATGGCTGCGAATGATTCACCTTATAGTCCAACATTACAGATATAGCAAACTCTTCTCTGAGAGGTCGCACAGATGGCTTTTTAACACACTTTATTTACATAATTCATCTCAACTAAGTGTGCTTATCACATCTCTTAAGAGTTAAATCAAGAGACACTATATGTTTCAATTAGGGTTGAAGGTGATAGTTGGCACAAACTCACTTGATGGCTTCACACATGTCCAGGCCCATTTTGACGCAGTTCTTGGCATGTTTCGGCAGAGAAACCGGCAGTCCTGACACACAGTAGTAACAGTCTCCAAGGATCTTGATTCTCATGCATTCGTTTTCCTAAAAGAAATAAGAATGAGAGGAGAGACCTGCTTATTTGTCTGGTTTTATGCAACCAGGCAAATATTCAAAATAGCCTCCTGGTTGCATAATATGTGGGTAAGCAGATAGACAGGATATGAGTGTACACATGCCAACACATGGGAGCCAATCGATACAACCACAGTCTTGTATTACTGAGGTTTAAGTGCCTTGGTTGTGGCTTGATAAGAGGAGAGTGTTTCCTTGTTCAACTGTTGTTCAACAATTTTCCCAGCCTGTATGAGGTTTAGCAGAAATCGTCCAGTCTGACACCTCACTACTCTAATCTTCACATTATTAATGCTACAATCTCCTGGAGAGGTAAACTTAGAGGTCAGTGTTGTTCATAATAACAATGTCAAGAAATTCTAGATGATGACTCACCTTGGCAATTTGGTCAAACTTGCCAAACAATTCATTGAGCATAATGACAAGCTCTTTGGGAGAACAGTCACTGGCCAATCGGGTGAAGCCGACAATGTCAGCATAAAGAATACTGAAAGAAATAAAAAATACAATGAGAGTTTAACACACAAACACAATAAAAAGAAAAATGGGCCTAATGCATGAATCGTGTGTGTACAGAGATGAGATCTTAAATTGTGCGTGCGAACAATTTAAGAACTTTTGTGGCATTCATCAACACTTGTGTACTTCCTGCTTGTTCTTAGGAATGAAAATTTAATATTGCCCTTGCCCACTAAATTCACCTTTTAATTTAGGTGATCTGGGGCTATCCGCTACTACTGTGGCTTACAACACCACTTAACCAACACTCAGACCCAGCAGGAGGTGGCCTCTAACCAGAAACTGACGTGCATGTCTTGTCCTCTTTTGTCTGAGTTTAAATTTACTTGTCAAATATCAGTGGCTTGTTGGTTTGTGCTTTGCACATGCCACTTAAGTCTGCTCCCCTTCTATGGGTTTGCCTATGCCAACTGCGAATTGCCTATGCCTGTAAAATATCACATCTCGCACGTAGCATTTGTTACAGTGGTTATAATGGAATCTAGAAAAACCACAGTGACAACAGCATCCTTTAAAGTCTACAACCACGAAGGTGAGTCCTGCAGAAGACCAGCAGGCTTAGCTGACTCTGCACCTCTCCACAAAAAGGGACCTCACAGAGACCAAAGTGTGCTTTCAGGTGTGATTTATGACGACACGCTTCAGCACAATGGGTAACTGGTGAGCAGCAGCAATATACAGTAGTCATGTAACTTCTGTCTATCTATAATACTGTGTAATTTTCATGACCAGAGGCTTTTTCAATCTGTCAACTTTACACACTGATATGGACCACACAGATTCACTGTTAGCAGTGTGGTATGGACTGGAGCATACTCAGTACTATGAAGCTCTCACCATTTGTGTCCTCCAAATTTGGGTCTGATTTTCTCTGCACAGCCTTGTTGGCCCATTATGACCTATTACATCTATTATATCCCTGAAATGGAATGAAGGATTTCAGGCAAAAAAAGCTCCTGACCACCTCCCATTAACCTCCACTAGACCTGATCAGTGACTGATTAAGAAGCCTGTCTGGTTTGATGCTGAATCATAGGCTAGGCATCATTAAAGCTGCTGGTCAGCACACCACAGAGGAACACAATGATATCTCAACCGACCTCTGAAAGACCCACCGGCTGGAAGTTTGGCAAAAGCCCAACATGCACAGAGCACCTGACCGGCCTCCCTGTCTTAGCATGTCTAGCTACAGTGGGGACTGAAATCCAAACCATTGCAATGTAAGCCTCAGTAAACACCATACTCATCTCAGTGAGCTGCAGGACATGTCAGCAAGTGTGATGAATGCTGTGCATGTAAATTACAACATAGTGGGATATATATTAAATTTGACATTGAGACAAGGATCATATCATATCAAACTGTGGGTCATATGATGATCAACAGAGCACCGCATGTAGGCTGTTGGATGCATTTTACTTGTAAGGACCACATCTAGCTGGGGCTTATTGCTGGCACTGGCTGGCACAACTGCCTGTCTGCTGACCAGCAGAGGGACACAAACCTTGCACCTGTTTCACTGCCTGACTGAGAACAGCCAGGTGCTTCATGAGACAGACAACACAGCTAATGACTGGTCTGACTGGTGTAATTATAGGGATAGGTCAGGGTTGCAGCCTATCATTCAACACCTTCTTACTAAATGAACGTGGCTCATGTCATCACAATGACCTCTTGATTAGCACTACAAGTTAAGTGTCTAAACCTTCTGAAAGACAAGGTTACCTCAGTGGATATTAACAGCCCATTTTCTGTATACATTTCAGTTTCATTTTATGGCAATATTACATCTTTAAATTCAACTGATCAAAACTGAAATTGCACCTTACAAATCAGTGTGCCAACACTTACAATTTTTTTTTAAATTAAATTAAATTAGAAAAAAACTTATAAAGCTCAAGAGGCCACAACTAAGCTTTCTCCCAGTGATTTCATTTTCCTCTTAGGAAAAACTATAATGCATTTCCCTTATTGAGGTGAGGCAGAGGCTGTGTCTTGCCCACATCTGTCCACAAAAAAAAAAAAAAAAAAAAAAAAAAAAAAGAGCTGGTGAGCCATCTGCCAAAGTTCATATTAAGCTGACCCAATATCTGTCAGCACTTGCTAAATTAATGAAACCTCATAAAACAAAAGAGCTGCAACTGGGTCATTGCTCTGAAAACAAACAGACGTACTAATCTCCATCGTTACGAGAGGTGGTCAGAGAAATCTGCTTTTTATGTGCCTTTTTTTTGCTTTTGTGGCTTATCTACATATTATGAAGCAATGTGCATGGAAAAAGTATAAGTGTAAGTGTCCCTGAGGATTTACAAAACTGCCAATACAGACAAAGTAGACAGGGATATTAAATCAGAACTTGCAAGAACTAGCAAGCCTAAAGAATTAAAAGCTCAAAGCGCAAGACTAAAAAATATCTCCTTAAAGCTGCTGTCCAAGATCCAGGTTGACCATCCCCTCAGTGCATGATAGGGCTAGTAGAATAAGGCGTCCACATTGGGGTGATCCTTTATAACAAGGGCTCTCTAATGATCAATACATCTAAAATCTGTCTTTCAATGTATTTTGAGGTGGTTTGTGGTTGTACCTGACATTCTCATGCCTCTTGACATAAAGACTGTGGAAGTTGTTATCTTTGACCAGTCGCTGTTGTTCTTCTTTGTCTTTACAGTCTTGCAAGCGCTCCATGATTGCAAGCTTCATCTTCATAGAGATGTAGACTGGTAACACAGATTGTAACAGGTTCTCCTGCAAACACACACACACACACACACACACACACACACACACACACAATTAGTTATATAGCTGCAAGTTGAGCAAGGAAACTAGGCTTATTTGACTGTCACACTCAATGTACAGTAATGAGTGGTAAATTCCTGACATGAAAAAAGTCCTATTTGGAAACAGCCATAACACATACTAACTCACGCAGGCATGATTACAAGACCAACCACAACAACATCTCACTCTTCAATATCCAGCTATGAACCTTTCTCTCATCAAGCATCTGTCAGAGCGCTGTTCACCTGACATGTGAACAGTGAGGTTTTTTTTATTTTACCTGTGCCTGTCTCTTTTTCTATGTCACCACTGTAGGTATACCACAAACCTAGCACCAATCTGTACCTGAGGTGGCCCCATTAGTGCTTCAGTGCTGTCCCCACAGCCTTAAGCTTTTAAGTGGTATTTGGAGCAAGTGTGGTTTATAAAGGAAATGGCATGTTCATACAGGTTCAAATTCAGTCGTACCAAATACATTCAAACATTACATCACCATGCTGCTATGATAGCCGAATAAAGGTAAACATTTCAAGAGTGGAATAACATTCAGCATGTGTAAACACAACACATTCATTCAGTAAGAAATATCATTGGAGTTGGTCTGCCACAATAGTCAGAAGCCTGAGAGGTGTTTAAAGTTCAATGGCTTGATTAAGACAGGACTCTGAAGGGGCAACTTCTCAAGAAATGATTAATCCTTCAAACCACTAGAGAGCCATCAGGTGATATCTGACTACACTTGCTGAGTCAAGTTAGTTGAGTAGAATTAACTTTATTGCCCTGAGGGGAAATTTTCTTTGGCACAGTGCTACAGTCTGTTGCTTCATGTATAAAACATTACGAAGAAACAAAATGAAAACATCTTAAAAATAGGAGACATTTGACATTGACAACATGTTGGTTTAAAAAAGAACCTGTAAGAATTTAAGTGTTAAAGTGTTTATGTATTTATTGCATACTGCCCTGCTGTACTAAGATTTAGCATTAGAGTTCAGCAGGCTGATGGAGGTTGGAACATGCATTCAGAGAAGAAATGTTGAAAGTCCCAAAATATTTTTGTTGCTTGTTTCATGAATACCTGCTCGTTCAGGCTCTATAAGGGCTCATATTCTTTCTTCCCCATTACCTCTGTAGTTTTTTGTGGATGCTGGTTAGTCTGTTCTATAGTGGCACTATGCCATGCTGTAAATCCATATTTAATGATGCTCTTTAGGACTGCCCAGTAGATGATCTGGCTGCTCACTCCGTACAGCCTCAATCGCCTTAGAAAGTTAAGTCTGTGCTGCAGTCTGTTGCAAGTTGTTGCTTGTTAAATTCATCTAAAGAATGGCTTTTACATGATACAGTCCTTGCTACGTGCTTTAGAATGTGAAGTGAATCTAAGTAAGGTATAATGTATCCCTTCAGGGGAGTTCCATTCCCCTGTCGGGAGTTATTTTCAAATGTCACTGGCTCACTATATATTATCCTATTTAGAACATGGCTTGCTACTAAAACATTCAAATGTTACAACTGGCATCAATATTATTAAATTGCTGGCAGAGTGTATTGACAGAGGAGAGGCTTCTCCCAGTCGGAGATGCTGGGTGCCCAGTAGCTGCAAAGGCTGCCCTCACGCTAATGGCCAGTGACTGACATGATCTCCCTGCTCTCCAGGCCAGCTTGGGAGAACTGTGTGGACTAACGTTAACTGATTTTGATGCTCCTCAGTCTGAGGCTGTTGCTATGGCGTCCTTAGCAACGGAGCAGCAGAGCAGCGGTGATACCTTAAGAAATTAACACCGCAGAATTTTGTTGATTGACCAATCAGAGTCATTATTTTAGAGTGCCATGTTCTAAGTAGAAATAAATGAATGCGAGAACAGATACACCGATCAGCCAAAACATTAAAACCACTGGTGGGTGAAGTGAATAACATTGATTGCAGCGGGAAAGTGTATCAGCACGGACACATTTCACCGCTGCACACCACAGGCGTGCTAGAGCCGGCTAGAGTGAGAGCATAGAGAAAAGTTTAAAAGGCGAGAATGGCTGCCGGAGAAAGTTCTGAAAGCAAAGCAACTGTACACGTTGCTGAAGAACACGATGACCCAGAAGAACTCATACCAAAAAGAGCAGTGTTTCCCCTATATGCCACTAGCAGCGCACCGCCGCTGCTGAAATATGGCCGCCGCTGCCGATTCTTCGTCTTAGCTTTTTAGAAAGTACCGTTATATTATTTGGCGCTACAGATGCTTCATATCCAGGCTTATAGAACAGGTCTATACCTTGTCCTTTTATTAAACTAACTAAATAGCCTTATGTTATTTATCTTATTTACATGATGGCATGTCATTTCTGTCTCTACATGGTCGCACGTTTACAATTCTCCTTTGCTCTCTGTATCGCGCACAGTTTTTTTTTTCTCGTAAATAACAAATTCCAGCACCTGAATAGGCCATAGCACAACACAGCAGCTTGTCAAGTGGCCGAACCCAAGCAAAATACCGTCAAATACAGTGGAACCGATATGATTTAAAAAAAAAAAAAAAAACATAATATGAAAATTTTGTCATACCGCCCAGCCCTACCCCAGATGTACCCCTGATCCACGGTGGATGTTCCTTGGACCGGACTTGGCTCTGACCTGTCAAGAACATTAACACAGAACCTCTGGGGGGTGTCCTATAGTGTCTGGCACCAACACATTGGCTTCAGATCTTTTGGGCCCTGTGGGCTGTGAGGTGGGGTTACAGCAGGCCCCACAGATGTTTGATCAGACTGGGATTTGGGGAATTTGGAGGCCAGGTCAATGCCTTGAGGTCTCTGTCATGTTCCTCGGGCCACTCCTGAGCAGTTTTTGTGGTGTTGCATGGTGCATTGTCCTGTGGGGCCAATGCTACTGGAGAGTGCCGCTGCCATAAAAGGAGGGTACCTGTTTTGCACTGGGGTTTAGCTGGGTGGAGCGGGTCTGATGGCAACCACATGAATGTCAGAACCCAAGGTCTCCCAACAGAAAATTGCATTGTAACAAGATGATCAATGTTGTTCACGGCATCTGTCAGTGGTTTTAATGTTTTGGCTGATCGGTGTATGTGAGAAGTTGTAAGGTATGAGAACAAAGCAAAGTGTTTGCGTGTGTGCGTGTGTGTGTGGATGATTTAGTTTGAGAACTGTGCTTGAAAACGACCTATTAATTTCTCATTTAAACAGGCATCCAAGCATACAGCGCCGTGAGTCATGGACATGTACTTTAGTCAATAAAATCTTCTCTCTTTAATATTTGCTCAAGGTAGGTCAGGTGGGATGAGGAGTGTGTGTGTGTGAACAGTTATGTTCAATTCATTACAATGATCTTCAAAGGGGATTTAGATCTGGGCTTCAGCTGGGCCACCTGAGGACATTCACATTCTTGTTTTGAAGTCATTCCAATGTTCATTTGGCTGTACACACCAGGTCACTGTACTGTCTTCTAATGTACTAGAAACAGGGCCGAGAGAATCTCCTGCATTTTGCGCCATTCGAGGATCCTTCTGTTTTCTCTTGCTACTCAACAGAGCTGAAAACAACCCCCATCCATATGGCTACCACCACCACACTTTAGCTATTTACTTTTCATCAAACCAAAGGATCCTTTGCTTTAACGTGTCAGAATTTTCCATGTGGTTCTTTGCAAAAGCCAAGTTTGCTGTCACAAGCCTTTCATTTCCCTGGAGTCTTTCTGGATACTCTCCAGGTTCAACGGACATATCAAAAGAATAAAATTCCACCTTAACTTGATTTGGGGTGTTATTGCAAAGAGGTGAATATGTTTTGACTCAAGGCATTCCACTTTTGATTAATTTTTAAAGGAAGCAAAACAAACATAAATAACTGAAATTGACATTTTGAGTTAGGGGATGTAAAGCAAAAACAAAATAATCAAACTTTAATGATTTTTTAAATCAGGTTTTGATGACACTAAATGTGGGAAAGGTCAAGAAGTTTAAATACTTACGTAAGGCAATACATTTTGTGTGTACGTGTGTCTCTGTCTGCCTATAACAATGAGTGTGTGTGTGTGTGTGTGTGTGTGTGTGTGTGTGTGTGTGTGTGTGTAAACTTGCTCTACTCAGCTGCAACCTGAACTGCTCACATTCACTGGCTGACCTCTTACAGGGTTCAAATGACCCTTTTAGTTTCCCATTGAGTCTGAAGCATGAACACTCACCTCTCATAAAGTGGCCTTTGTATAGATAACTGTGGGCAACTGCAGGATGTGTCACATAATATAGTGCTGTTGTAAATGTTATCCATTGGTCTTTTATTTCTAAATAAATAAAAGTTCTTTAATTATTTACATATAGTACATATCTTAAATATGGAAAAACACATTGTGACAAAATGCATGTAGTGAAATACAATTAGTCTGATTAATGGGAAAGCAGTAGGTGTGGAGGGGTCACCAGAGTTTGAGAGAATCTCATTAGCATTGTTTTCAAAGGGGAGTGCTAACGTCACAAACGATGCTAAATGACATTTTTGACGGCCCTCTCACCCTGCCAAGACCCATTTCAGGAGGAACACACTGGACTCACGCCCACTGAAATAGCTGTGGTTACACAATGTGCGTTCCTCATTGGTTCCCCATTTGGAACGGTCTTGGATCTTCTCTCACCATGCTATTATGTCTCTGTTCTCTTTGGCTGACTTTGTGCACCGGGCTCCCTTTTTTTTCAGCCCCATTTCAACTACAACAGGAGGTTTAAATGTTAACGATTATATCATTCCTGTCTGTCCTGCTAGGCAACACAACAGCTTCCCTGTCAGCACGTTTTATGTCCCACACTAAGCAACGGTCATAACAAATGACACAAGGAGAGCATTTGTTTTAGAAATGCCTCTGAAGTCAATGCAAGTCAGCACAGATGCATCTAATTTAAAAGGCATCACAGGAAGATCTAATTTGAGAAGGATTTGTTAGTCGCAATGAAAACATCCATGGGAGAGTCAACATGAGGCCAGCCAAGGGCAAAGCTTACAGATGAAATAAAATTATAAGAATATGGCAATAACAATTACTGACTAGCTATTTTCATTATTTGTCTGTAATGTTAGTTTCAGTTCAGTGAGGTTACTGGAATACAGATGATGCAGGAGAATAAAATGTATTAAAATGCTCATCACAATTGGCTTACAACACACAGTACACTTTTCCTCAGTGTTATTAATGTTGGTACGTCAATCCTAATTTTTTAATAAAGACATAATACATTGTTATTTTCCTCTCTTCATGATTCCACAATGGATAACAGATCATTGCTTGATGTGAGTGTGTGGGAATGTAGTGTGAGTTTAATTTAATCTAATGTGTTTAATGGGATGTATCCATTTAATCATCCTAAAGTCATACACACTGTAATGCACTTCACTATTTACATTTTGACATATTTTCTATCCTCTATCTACAGTAGACTGAAATGTTTTTTTTAAGAGGTTTAGTGCATAAAATAACCCATTATAATGTAGGCTTTCATATTTAATGGTCATTTCCTCAGACAGAGTGTAGCTATTTCTTTGTACAACCTGTTATAAACTAGTCTTTAACAGCCAGTGTATTACACTAACCTGTTGTCTCTTTTCTATCTCCAGCTTCATCCGCATGCTCAGGCACCTCAGTGTGTCTTGAAAGGTCTGCCTCAGGGTTTTCTCCATCAGGACCTTATGGAAGGCTCCCACCACACTGCCACACAGAAACACCACTGCATTCGACAGCAGCTATAAAAACAGACACAACAGCAGATGTTAGAGCTTAAATTGAAATACCATTATGTGCACACACACACACACACCCACGCATGTATCTGCTTAGTGGGATTTAAGAAATTACTCATTTAATTAGTTAATGGCTTTACTTTCAAATCATTGTCTATTTTTTAATCTGATCCTGGCCAAATATATATTCAAAACTGTCTTAATGTTCGTTGAAAGGACTAGATGTTGCAATCCCTCTTGTAGCACCACTTCTAATTCATGGGAAGTTCTTGAAAGATGGCTGCTATGAGGCTTTACCACCGGGACACATCGTCAGTTGTGTACCTCAGCATCGACGGGTGTTTCGGCCATTTAACACAAGACACCCTCCACTGCGGCAGGCCCACCACAGGTTGATCAAGCCGGTGTGTGTCCCAGGGTTAGCTGTTTGCCTTAGCGGCCCAGATGGCGTCGTTTCTCTTCAACCACAGCCAATGACTCGTCCTCTCAGCGGTGTTGGCCAGCTCTTTAATGGCCTGTCTGTGAGCCTGTCCCCTGACTCCAACCTCCCTAAGGAGCTTTGCTGTTGTACTGGCTACAAAGCCCCTGCACCCCACCTCCACCGGGCGCACCTTTACTTTCCAGCCTCTGTCCTCTGCCTCAGCTGCTAAGATGGTGTACCGCAGCTTCTTGCTCTCATACGCTTCTTCCATGGCGTCCTCCCAGGGGACTGTCAGTTCAATGATGTAAACAAGCTGGGAGGAATTAGACCAAAGCACGAGGTCTGGTCGCAGGGTGGTCGTCGCGATCTCTGGGGGGGGGGGGGATGAGCCTCTGATCCAAGTTGACTCTAAACTTAGCTTAAATCTTTTAATGGATATTTCAGATTTATTTTTAAGTGGGGTTGTATGAGGTACATTTCCATAGTCCATGTATTACCAACAGTAGAGGGCAGTCTGTACACCCCCACTTTTGAGAAGCAGACAGGAGTACCGACACAGAAGCTAAGCAATCTACTGCTGTGGACAGGGGCAACAGCAAAGTTTATTTTAAATACCTAAAAAAGCGCCTACCCATAAAATTAATCGGTTTGAGTGTACATTTTATGTACAATATTTTTACTACTTTACCTTGCTGTAATTTTACCTCTGCTAACATTGGAGCTGCTGGTTTACCACAATCAGTCATGTTATTGTTTCACTTTGGTGAATCTTCACTAACCCTTCAAAACACCAAAATCACACAATAACACAAACAAAATTAAATAACCAATCAAGGTAACATAGACCAGCAACTCCCATGTTATGCAAGGTAAAATTACTGTTTTTGACAATGGGGTCTAGTTGTTTTGAAGAGAGTGTAGATAACAGCTTCAGTTCGCCGCAGGAAAGGACAGTCTGGCAGCAAGAAAAAATTAGGTGGCAGAAAATATGTTTTGCTGCTGCCCCCATGCACAGCGGTACACTGCATAGCTTCAGTGGTGGTACTCCTACCTCCTTATCCAAACTGGGATCATGCTGACTGCCATCTACCGTAGGTAATATACACTGACTATGGATGACCTCATAAATTAACATTTCATTTTTTAACCCACATTAGTTGTTTAGATTTATACATCTGTCTGTCTTTCTGTGGCTGTTGGATATCTGAGTGCCATATGCAAAGTCTTCCAATACAGTACAAATACAGGAGTTTATATACCATACAATCTTTAAAAATAACATAATTTTTTGGTTAAATTGATGGTAAACAATATTTGCACAAAAACCCGTGAAACTTCATCTTTACTGGGAAGATAACATTGGCCTTAAATAACCCACACTGGCTTGAAGTCTGCAACACACAGCTGCAGACTGATACATTAGCATTACAGAGACATTTCTACAACATAATGACAGTTTTTATCCAACTGGTTTTACCTGTTCGGCGAGGTACGAAGGGGACTTTTTTTCATAAACAGTGAGGCGCAGTGTGAGGACCATGATGTGGGACAGTGAGGAGATGACACTCAGCACCACAGCGTACCACAACTGGAATGGCAGCATAGTGTACACTGTGAAGATGATGAAGAGGAAGAAAGGCACCTGGAAACATAATGGTTCCGTTATTTCAAGAAGTCATCTTTGGTGCCATCACTAAATCAAATTCTGGTAAATGCTGTGGTTCATTCTACTTGGAGAATGCTTGTAGGAAAATAGGTGTATGTTGTGGTAGGTCTATGCTTGTATTTTGGGCTATGAGGCATAAGGAATACCTACTATAGACCTATTATTAACAAATACAGTACCAAATTACAGACACACCAGAAAATCAAACCAATGCAGATTTTTAACGATCTATTATCCAAATACTAGAGATGGGAAATATTTAAGAAAAAAAAAACAGTTCAGGTAATTGTTGTGTAAGATTTCCATGTCTATAAGTTTGCATGGCCTGGGACAATTATATTATAAAAGTCACTTGCAGCAAAAAAGTAACCGTAATGTGAACCTGGCTGGACGGTGAGGTTACCTGGTCCCAAGGCAAGATGATTGGGCTGCTGAAGATAAAGGTGTAGCCCATGGTGAGGTGTGTGGCCCATACAATCAGGCCGAGTAGACGCCTCCATCGTTGTGAGAGTATCTCCGTACACACGAGCACAAACACGGTCAGAAACACGCACAGGCTGCCACTCACCACGCTCACAAAGGCACAGTGATCCTTTGCGCTCTGCTCCAGCATAAAGGGAGAAAAATAAACACACATATTATTACAGTAATATCAGTAAATCATGCAATATAGATACATACATATATATGCATAAGTCATATTACAATAACTTCTGTGTCAGCTTCAGTAGCAGACAGTTGCCATTTTTATGAAGTCGTTTTTAAGACAACATTAAGCAACTTGCAGAGGGACAGAGAGACCATGCAGATGCTGACCTGACATGCAGGTGTATTAGTCACAAACACTGACACTGACTGAAAAAGTTTACAGGGTATTAACAACAGCACTAGCTACAACCTCAAACCAGACCACTGGGTTTAATTAACACCTTTACCAGTCTCAACAAAAAAACAAACATTATGGGCTTCATCAAATTGGTATACTGCAGGTCTTTGTATTTTTTTGTGTGGCGAGTCTATTAGTTTGTCCATCCATCCATACGTACATTAGAATCTACTGTCAAATTAATTAAATGCTTGCACACCTCTATCTTTTTTTAATCAGTAGTATTAGTATTAGTATTATAGTAGAAGTATTGCTTATGTTTTCATAAGGTTTCAGATGGGTATAAGTTGCTCCTCAGAGCCCTGGATATTAATCAGTAAAGAGGCTTATGTCAAAGTTTTTCCTTGAAATCTGTCTCTGCATCATGTCCTGTTTGCTCCAGGCCACAGTCTCCCTGATTGAGTTGAGTACAGTGAGAAGCAAGCACAAGGGGAAGAGATCATGTTTATTTGTGCACGTGTGTGCATGAAAGCATGTTTACATGTCGGTGTAAATTTCTCTCTCTCTCTCTCTCTCTCTCTCTCTCTCTCTCTTTCTCTCTCTGTCCTGCATGTAAATGTACGAATGAAAGCAACAACCCTCAGTGTGTCCAATACCCATACTACCGTACTACTTTGTATGCCAGAAAAAGATTTACTATGTTCCAAAACATACTACATCAAATGCAGTATGCCAAAAAATACCAGGATGTCCTCGTGCATCCGGTCGCATTTTGCAGTATGCAAGCCAGCTGTTCTGTCCAGCAATCCTCTGTACAGCAGAAGATACACATCATCAATTGAGCTCACTGACAGCTGACAAGATAACCAGCTGGTTAAGATAACCAGTGACAACAAAAGGACATAACTATGAAAAAACTATATACTATAACTGTATACATACAGCATGTTGCAATCACAATGTGCAGAGTTATAACTTGAATTTTAAAACTACATATATTGCAAAGTAAGAACAGCAGAGCCCTCTGTTGACCTCCATCTCTGGCAAGCTAGGATAGTGGTGTTTTGTTGTATCTTCAAGGTAACGTTAAGTAATAAGTTAAGATCTGCCGCATTACAAATCACATACTTTTTCTTTTACAACTTTACTTTTTGTACTGAGGCGAATATGTGAGCAAGAGGGTCAGAGCTCAAGGCACAATGTTTTGACAAAATATGTCTCAGTTGGCCAGCTGCAGTATATACTGAAAGTAAAAAGAGAAGGTATGCCATTCGTAACACAGGGTGTGTTTGTCCAAGCGTATACATGTGTGACATTGTCTTAGTGTAAGTGGGAGGAGAGAGTGGGTGTCGGAGGGAGAGCACGAGAGAAAACAAGGGGTTAAAAGAGAGCTCAAGAGTGAGACAGACGCACAAAGTCAGTGTTAATAGATCTCTGCTCAGAGAAGGCCATCTCTGCATTGTATGTTGAGCTTTCTGGTTACCATGGCAGCATTGGAAAAGGCCAGATCTCAACTGAAGCACTTTCTACTCCCTATGTAGCTGTGGGTCTTGACAAAACCTTTTTGTAGGTGGAAAAAGAGCAATTATTCTATATGAATAGGCGCTAAAACCATGTGAACAGATACAGCTATAATGTTCAACGCATGGCCAAAATCTCACATGAAACCAGAAGTACTCCACTTCTGATGTATTATTTCCATTTATTACAGTGTTTTTCTGATATAGCATTGGTGTCTGTATAATCTTTCAGCTTTAATGTCTGCAGTATCAGACAGTTCTTACTGATAGAATGCTTTATATATATATATATATATATATATATATATACATATGGATAAATAGGAATATTTATAGTGCGCTGTGTACTCTGTGTCCATTGTTTCTTTGCACTAAATGTGCAGATGACCCTGTTGCTTCTGTACTTTTTCTGCCAGTATGATATATTCCTGCAATAATGTCACCATGGCGAATCCCTGACAGCTTTAAACACTGCATTTTTGTTATTTATCACAAAGGAGATAAGTAAAAAATTAAGTACATATTATGTTATCTAAGGGTCAAGGCTGAAAAAATGACTGTGAAATGACAAAACAAGAGCCTTGTATGGAGGACACTGACATCTTATAATGAAACATAACACTCCTCAAACATCCTCTCACAGCTCTTAAAAACATGTAGACACACTTTATTTGGATACAGTTTTAAGAACTGCAACAACAGGCTACTTAATACCATCTATCCATCCAATCAGGGCCTGAGACTGGAGCCATGAGTGGCACTTGGACCATTGGCTCAGCCAGTTTTCCTCTCAGCACTGCTCTTTATGCAATTGGAGAGGAGTTATATAAGTTGACAGTGACTTTTTGACACCGGTGGCCACCCCCTAACAGACACCCTGCCCCTCCTTTGAGTTTAACAACAGCGTTATACAAGCTCCATCCCAGCATTTTCTCTCTACTCTTCTGTACCCCTGGCAACTGTGTGTGCGGAAAGATAGCTAAGAAGAATGAGGAGAAAAGGAATAGAGTGATGGTATGTCCGGGGGTGGATGAGGGGGTTAGTAAGTGAATTTTGCATATTTAATGTCACGATTTAGAAAAGAGACAACACTATAGGTCATAAAATCATGCCAGTGTGTTCATGTGTGTGTTTGTGCGTGTAATAAGCAAGACACTATATCAACGCGTGAGCATACTCATATGTACATACATGAGCAAAGGAGCCATTTAAAAAAAACTATGTCTGAGTGGAAGATCTTTATGTACTGGTACAATGACAAGAGAAAGGGAGTGTGCCAGAGGGTCAGCAACAACACAATAGAGGGAAGCTAAAGGTGATTTTTCAAACAGAGGAAAGTAATTTAATCTCTGGTGACAGAAGCTGTCAGTTCACTATATCAACCACTGGACTGACTGACTGCTATGCTACCTGCCGTCATGCCAAAATCAACAGTATGCCGCTGATCAGCCAAAGCCAATGAATACCCGCCCCTTCCTGTCATAGTCTGAACCACGATTACACTCTCTACACTTTGACAGCTACATTGTTTTAACAACCTTTTAATGTTTTAGTCCTCGCTTGGTTCATTTTGTTCTGTTCAGTTTTCAGACAAACCTTCTAAAGATTTTGCTTTTAAGTGCAGCAGGGTTGTGTATTTAGCAGGAAGACGGTGCCTCAGTGAAAAGACCCCGTGTCAGCAGGTATATCTTCTGTTGACATATTTTTGAGCAAAATTGAAGCCCTACTAGCTGCACGGCTACTGTTCTGTAGCTCACCCTGACCCCTGACCTCTCTGTAGAGAAAGGCAAAGCAGTTTGCTGACAGAGAAGCATCATCAGTATTATCAAACGTGTACCTGAGGTTGTTTAACAGATACATTTCTAACCTGTCTCCTTTTCTAATCTCTGGAAAGCAACTAAAATACGCATTCTCTATCATTTTTTTGTCTATTTCGTCCATGGCCTCCATCACATTTAACTGTTACACAATCACTTACTCATTCATGCTGCTGGAAAGCTGTACTGGTAGTGAAGGGGAGTTACCCTAAGTGCTTTATTTAAGTAGTTGTCCAGGGAGAGAAGAGAGTTTTTCATTTGTCACATTTTCACAGCCAACCTAGAGATTCAAACGGACCATCTAGTCACATCCTGCTTCTCTCAACATTAAGCTACTGCTGTTTTCCTAATGTGCCACATTAGTCCCCATACACTATCCAACTCAGTGAATCTTCTCTGCACCATCAAAGCACAAGAAAAATGTTGTGGGGCTCTGTGGATCTCTAAAATGATTTTTAATGCATCTTGATACATCAATGAATCAATAAGAATATTAGAAATGCTTCTCAATATAATGCAGCCCAGTGCAACAGCACTGCTAACTATGGCCTCAACACTATAACATTATTGAATGTGCTAATCTCTTTTGTGAAAGGTGAACTTAAAGGGATAGTGCACCCAAAAATGAAAATTCAGCCATTATCTACTCACCCATATGCCGAGGGAGGCCCTGGTGAAGTTTTAGAGTCCTCACATCCCTTGTGGAGATCGGCGGGCGGAGCGGATAGCACACCTAATGGCAGACGGCGCCCCAGACTAACGTCCAAGAACACAAAATTGAATCCACATAGTAACTCCATACTGCTCATCCATAGTGATCCAAGTGTGCTGCAGTCGCGACATAAAAAGATGTTTCGAAAAACGTCATATGAACTCTGTTTTTAGCCTCACTGTAGCCTGTAGCTCTAACTGTTTCTCTGTGCTCTGCGTTCACGTGTGCGCGCCTGCGTGAGACCAGCAAAAGCATGAGCTTTGCTCACCCGTGTTTACATCACATGACACGTGCACCACAGGGAGGAGACAACGGTAGCAGTCGCTAAAAGATAATTTGCACTACGGTCTTTTAGCAAAGGACAGCCCAACATGTCTGAAGACTTTGCAGTTGAGGAGGAACAGCATTTCTTTGTTGAGCCTTATTTCTTTGAGCCCGAGTATACAGACGGAACTCAGGCTACTGGACGAAGCAGCCGCCGCAGCTCATGAGCCTAACCCTCAGCCAGCCGCAGAATACCAGAGTCGAGCACTGGAAACCTGGTGGTGTAGTTGTTTCAAATGCAAAGCAATACCAACGGGTGAGGAAAGTCTTTGCTGCTCAGACTGGGAATTGGCGATGCCTGCACTTCAGAATCTGGACATCAGTACTGACGAGAGTGTTGCTCTTCAGAGACCGTGCATCACCGATCACCCTGAGCGCGCACACGTGAGCGCGGAGCACAGAGCAGCAGTCAGAGCTACAGGCTACAGTGAGGCTAAAAACAGAGTTCAAATGACATTTTTCGAAACAACTTTTTATGTTGGGGCTGCAGCACACTTGGATCACTACGGATGATCAGTATGGAGATACTTTGTGGATTCAATTTTGTGTTCTTGGACGTTAGTCTGGGGCGCCGTCTGCCATTAGGTGTGCTGCCCGTTCCCCACGTCGATCTCCGCAAGGGATGTGAGGACTCTAAAACTCCACCAGGGCCTCCATCGGTATATAGGTGAGTAGATAATGGCTGAATTTTCAGTTTTGGGTGCACTATCCCTTTAACGTATTCTTTTGCAGCTAATGAATGTGTACATGAGTGTCGTTAACTCTCGCAAAATGTCACAATACTAAGCACTGTGTTTTTACAATACCTGAGGACTTACAGCACCAAGCATGCCAGAGTTGTGTCGAAAACTCTTTCTCTGTGGATATGCGTTTCCCCCTTCCTAAATTTGAACCAAACCATTTCCTTTACCTAATCATGAAGAAGGCGCTATGCATTTTAACAAAAGGAAAATACTGTTTTACTATGTTAGGAAGAGCCTTTCATAAATCACCTGCATAGCTTGTGCAACTGCCAGTTCAGACAACACAGGTAATGGTGCTGCAGAGGTCAATATCTGAAGGAGTTTTATGAACAAATCAGTAAGATACAGATTCCAATAGAATAAAACTGACATTTTTATGCAAATTATGCCTTCCAGGTCTTAAAAACACGTCTGAAGTCTGCCACATTGGCAACAAATATGAAACGACACATCGAGCATCCAACCAGTTTCGGGAAATACATGCGAGTGAATAATGATCATATTTTATTTATGTTAAATTTGAACTATTTTCATTAAAATCTGAACTTTGAGCTAGCGCTTGTGAAGTGGGAACACGCACAACTCAGCTGGAGCTAATGGATTCTGTTGCGGAGGTCAGAAAACCTCATTCAAAATCCAATTGGCAAACCAAAAACCAAAAATACAGCCTGGGACCCGAGTCTTTATCAACTGTATGTTGTGTAACTCACTTTAGATAGGGCAGTAGTTATCTAATGTCGCAGTTTGTGTTTTTAAGCATTCTTTAACAAACACAATTTCCCAGAAGCCCTCGACATCTGCAGGCTAAACGTCACAGCTGGACAAAAGAAGTGAGACAATGAGCAAGTCAAGGGTCATGGCCAGCTCAGACAAGTCTGTAATAACAGCAAGCCAGAGAGGAAGTTTTTAGACAGCAGAGATTACAACTAGAAAGCTGAAAAGTTGACTTCAAGGGAGAGGTTGGTGAGTTTTACGGATATGGATAAAACCCGCTATCTTGTAGATTTTTTTCCATGGAAGCTGTAGTTTTTTCTGTGCTCACAAAGTGATCCTTTAACTTTGTTAAAATCACAAAGGTTTCAAATTGAGCTGCAGTGGATTCAGATTTGTCTTAGAATATGGAAATTAAACCCCAGGAACATCCTATAATTTTTCAGAAAGACAAATGCAAGAAATTCTGAATGAGAGATTGCACAGTTAGAGAATAGTGGAACAAAGGCTAGAACAGCCCAGGCATTATAAAAGTAGGTTGCACTGGATTGCATGATGAGACTTATGTACATGTGTACCTAATAAAGTGGCCACTGAGTGGACAATTACCCCAGTATAAGCCATTCATCACTGCAACAAAATCGTATCTGACTTAGATTTCTATAGAGGGCAGACATTTTGACATGTCATGGCAAGAAAAGCACAGGTGCTTTAAAATTTAGATCAGGCAGTTGCAGTGTCCTGTTCTTGTGCATGAGGGATCCCTAAAATGGCTTACAGGTTCGCATCATGGATCAGAGCCAAGTTATCTGTTACACCTGTGTTTGTCCTGCTGTGACAAGTTAAATTTGTCAGCAATGGAAAAGGCCTATACATCTCAGTCAGGTCACTTCTGTAAAAAGGCAGCTAAAAACTTCCTTAAAAGTTATACTGTGCAGGAGTTTCCCCCAAAACAATGTATAGACTTCCTCTGAGTCATCACTTACAACCCACTACTACAAGTGTGTGGCAATCTATTTATCTGCACAGACTCTGCCCTTTGCCTGTATTTTCTTCATTCTTTGCTGTGATCGGGACATTCCTGAGCACAACGTGCAGGTGAGCTTGAGACTTTACAAAAGGTATCAACCCACTGTCAGACCATAAGCAGCACGTATCCAAGAGAAAGCTACATTGTGGACACAGCTCAGTTTGTATCGAATGTCAGCGCCTTGCCTTGCACCACCTATCATCTTACTGTGCCATTCCGCCCACCCTTTCACCATGTGTACTGCAAGGGCATAAAAATACTAAGAAAACAGGCAAAGTGCATATCAAGGTCAGGAATATCTGTCACAGCAAAGCACTGTGTGCCATTCTTTGCCCTGTAAAGTGCATCCATGGCAACCATCTGCACGTCTACGTACGTAAGTCATACTCCCTCCTGACTTGTTAATATTGTTCACCACCCCAAATAACTTTTGACCTAGACTCACACAAGTTACAATTTCCACAGTTTGGATTCCACACCAGCTGATTAAAGCAAGTTGTATAATAAAAACGGTTCGACTGAAGTGGTTAGAGCAAAGTGAGAGATACCCTGATAATCTAAGACTTTTCCTGAAAAATTATCAAATTTGCGGACTTTAAAGGGTGCAGTTAGTATTGTTTCATGACTCTTTGCAGAAAGTAACCATAATTCATATTGCAGGAGTTCACAAAAACAACAGATCAATGCTAATCACTCCTCTGCCTCAATGGTTTCTGAATAGTGGGGTAATTACAGGTGTTCTTTCTGCACAAGCATTGTATTTATTATGAAAACCTAAATGCTTAACAGTGGCTCACAGGCAAATAACTCAACTAATTTAAGACATCGCGAGCATTTGCATATAATCAATAACCTAAAATATTCCAGGATATTTAACACTCTCCATGACCAATGTGAAATCTGCAAACTGCGCAAAATGACTTTCAGTTTTCAACAAACATATGACTCACCAGTTGAAGGGCAAAGAAGAGGATGAGGAGGATCCCACAGGAGAGCATGGAGAGGCCCAGCAAGAGCACCAGTGGCTGATACTGGCTGATGCAGGAGAACTTGCGGTACAGTGCCTCATTTTTCAGCTCTTGGTCATTCAACAGGTACTTCCCCTTGGCTGGCATGGCTCACACTTGTTACAGAGGCATATCAGGTGTTAACAAGGAGCCCCCGAGAGCAGATGTGTATGTCTCCACAACTTGTGTGTGTGTGTGTGTGTGTGTGTGTGTTGGGGGGGCGGAAGTTTGTTAAGAAGTCAACAGTTCAGGATCTGTTAGGGGCCCCTTGCTAGCTCATGACACTTAAGTAAACCTTGTGTTTTTCCTTCGCCGTGGCATCTTCAGTGTTGCTGCTGCTTCTCTCACAGCTCTGTTGCGGCTCTTTCCACTATTCGTCCCCTCTGTCTCTCTCTGTCTTTCTCCCCTTCGCTAGTCCTTTTGTGTCTTCTATCCTCTGTCTGGTGTTGGCAGGCAGACCTGCTTCATCCTTTGCCAGCTACTGTGTTGCTCCCTTCAGTGGGTTTGAGTAATAAGCCTCGGGCTGGGAGACACGAGGGAGGAGGGGAGGGGAGTTTAAGAAAAGGGGAGGAGAGGGATAAGGAGGACGAGCAGGAGGAAAACAGGAGCTGATGAGGGCAGCAACAAAGGTCATCAGAGATCCCACCAGGTTTTGGGATGTAATGGAGCGGTGAGGTTGGCAGCTCCACTCCTTAGGGGGGAACACGGAAGAAGGGGAGGGGGCAGGGAGAAAAAATGACAAATATTTTACCAAAGGTTTGGTGGCACATTTACAAAACAAACGCTACCAAAGCTAACACTTTGAAATGAACAGAAAATACCACATTATAATATTAGAATCTGTTTCATGGGCATAAAACACATAGCTAAACTGATCTGAAAAGGAACCTGGCTTTCACTTCTGAGAAAGACATAACGTAATCAGACACTACATGTGAGTCACTGGGAAAATTGGAAGAATGAGACATAAATATCTGGATTCCTTGATGACCACATGCTTATTCATACCTGAATTCTGAAATTTCGACAACCCAGAAAGCCCTGTCTCTGTTTACCCCAGGGTCCGTCCTGGCTCAGTTTGGCCAGAACTTTCATAGAAAGCAGCCGTGACGATGGGCCAAACTGCTAATGAGAGCAGTTGCTTTGGAGCCATTTACTGAACAATACAACGTCGCGGAATGAACTTCTTTACAGCCACAGATCCCACAAACCACTTTATTCTCTCCCAGCTGAACTAACAAACAAGACACATCCACAGCCAAGGTTACAGTAATAAAAGGAGACAAGAGGCACACAAACCAAAGAGAGGTGGATGTGTGTGTGTGTGCAATCCATAACTGTATGTATCACTGAGGGATGAATTAAGTAAAAGATAATCATTTTCACAACAATCTGAGCATCTGTGGTGACACTAATGCATGAAATAGGAACCCTTCATCCTCTGTCTAAGAACAATATGTCTGCTTGCTGAGTGAGGGGCCGTGTTGTATTTACACTACTGAGTCTGAGAGAGGATGCCAGGAAGGCTCTGTCAAAACACACAATGTGGATATCTCTTCAAACAATTAGAGCTCTGTGGAGCTGCATCAAGACCTGATAATCACAACATACAGTTTGTAGATGCAACAGTGTGAGTGAAGAGGCAGTTGCAGCGAAGCAGAGGTAAGGGCTGCATTGTGTTGATAAATATACCGCAATTCCTCTGAAAATGATGAAAAGATTGTAAATTTGTTTTATAAAATGGCTCAAAAACTAGAGAGGGGTGAATGTGTGTGCTACTATCCATCTCTCGCTAATGAGAGCTACATATATTCATTTGTGAGAGAAAAGAAGACACTGGCTTGAAGCTCAATGGAAACAATGTGAACTTCGCACCGCTGTCAACAGAAACCGCATTTCGTCCAGTTGCTAATATCACTGTCCTCTGTGTGGTGTGTAAGGCACTGCTTCATGTTTGTCTCTCACATAGCAACTGCAGCAGATGCTATGTGCCATAAAATGTGGAAAGCAGAGCAAAAAAAAAAAAAAAAACACACACACACCTGTTCCCTTGTGTGTGAATGAAAAGTCAGCTACAAGGCGTCCATCTTGTTGTGATAAAATGCATTGCCACAGTAAGCAATGTCATGAGTTTACAACCACTTTTAACTTTCCCTTTCAGTGCTCCTGCTGCTGGATAGAACAGCATCCAACTGGCTCTCCTCGGCCTCAGATAACACACCATCATCAGTCTGCAGGCAGTAAAAGCAAGAGGGAGGTAAAACAAAGCATAATAGCCCTGGTGAGGGATTGTGTCCTCTTCTTGCCTTGATAAGAATCAGCTGGCCTGTTAGAGGGGAACCCTGAGTTGATGTGTACTGGCTATTTACATGTTGTGGGAAATCATTTACTCCACAAACCTACTAGATGCCACATCTAGATCTTAAATGTGACTGTACACAGTGCTGTTGTACATTCTTAAGCATGTGTTACTATAACTGTCATCATAACTGGCAGACAAAGCAGGAATGTCAACCACATATATATATATATTTTATGATCATATGGGAATGGTTATTTTAGGTAAGGTAAATAAACAAGGCAGTGGCAATACTTGAAAGCAAAACCAGCAATATAATTATTGAGTTAAAAACAAAACACATAAAGGCACAGTTAAGCTTCGGCACACAAAGCAGTTGACACCACAACAGAAACAATCCAGACGGCATGTGTCTGAGAAGAAACAAGGGAGCTGTTATTATACCTACAGACAGTAGACCTTCAAGGGAACTGCTTTTCAATAAACCACAGGATGATACTTCTTCTTTCTATCTGCTCATCTACCATCCTACTTAGAAGAAAATATACAAAGAAAAGAAAAAGAAGAAAAGGCAGCCATTAGCTGTTGCTTTCAGTGCAATGGCTCTCATATAGGTGCTTGTCTTGCAATTCATGCTTCAATGAACAAATGTCTACATCTTTCATTGTTTTTTAGAAACACTCTAGAACAGTGATCAACCAGTTAGTGACAAGACTGAGCATGACCAGGAAACAGGCTGAAGTGGAATCATGGATCAAATGCATCTCAGCTTTCCTGCTCCATTTTTTTTTCTCAATGACTGAAGTGGAAGGGTTAATAAAATGCTCTTAAATCCATGATCCAGGTGAGATGACCCGCTGACTTCAGCATTTAATGGGTTTGCCTCATATTTAGGCAGCAGTTTGACACCGTAAGAACTCTCATTTACCAGATGTTAAAGTTCCTGGCCCTTTTTAAAAGGCAACTCTAAAGTTACCATGGCAAAAGAGCAGCACCATCAGACCTGTGGCTGTGCCGTAGCACTGAGCCGGGAGAACAGACAGGGATGTGCGCTTCAATGGAGCCGAGTCTCTCGGCAAGCTTGGATGAATGGTTGAAACTGTGCTGCATTGACTGCCAGGTCTTTTACGACGAAAGCTTGGCAATTGAGGGAATCACACAGCAGCCTTGTAAACTGGCGTCACTGCATCCTGAAACAGCAGCCATACAAAACCAACTAACGTCACTGTGTGCTTGCTGCTGAGACGCAGGAACGTACAGACCCTTGTGTAAAAGAAAAGAGGAGGTGAAATATAACAGACTGGGAGCTGTGTGTGTGTGTGTGTGTGTGTGTGTGTGTTTTAGACAGCTTTAGAAAAAAGACAGGATGACAATGATGACCATGGAAAACATGTTAAGTGGGTTATCATTAAATATACTGGAGGAGACTGATAAATGACAGCAAGTTAATTCTCTTGGTATTTTTAAAGGCTAAACATTACTTGAGTCTAGGGCTGCCACTAAAGATTATTTTCATTGTCGACTAATCTGTCGATTATTTCTTCGATTAGTCGACTAATCATTTCATCGAAAAATGTTTTAAAATGTTGAAAAATGTCAGTCTGTCACTCCCAAACCCCAAAATTACGTCATCTAATGTCAAATGCCAAAGGGGTTTAGTTCACCGTCATGGGAGAGTGTGTAAAGCTGCCAATATTTGAACGTAAGAAGCTGCAGTAAGAGTATTTTGGGGTACTTTTATAGTACTTTTCTATGAAAAATGACTCAAACCGATTAGTCGACTACTAAAATAGTCAATGATTATTTTAATAGTCGATTAGTCATCGATTAGTCGACTAATCGTGGCAGCCCTACTTGAGTCATCAAAAGTGACAATCTGTGAGTTCTTTTTCATTCTTTATCTTTTTGGCATCATTGTCTATACTAATCCATCACTTCTGTGGAAGTTTTGCAGCACACACCGCAACAATCTGGTTATACTGAGTATGCACTGGTTATAGATTTAGTCACCATTTTGTTTAAGTATACGTCAATATCCTGATTAAAGGTATACTTCACCCACAAAATGTTCATTTTTATATCAATGACTCGACCATGTCACATTGAATTTGAGAGGAAAACTTTGACATATAATAGTTTTGCTGTTGTTAAACATACCTCCCACCCCAACTTTTACACCAATTCATCAGGAACTTTCTCTGTTTTCGGATTCTCACCATGGAGGCGTGCAAGAAGAACGTTTATTTACAAATTCAACATAACACTGGGTGAGTTATTGATATACAAATTATCATTTTGTGGGTGAAGTATTCCTTTCAGCCAATTTTTTATATCACATGGCAATATAAAACGTGCACTGCACATGGGCATTGGCACTATTGATTTTTATGCATCAAGAGTCTCCTCTACATTGGACCTTTTGACCACATTTGCCTTTTACACCATATTAACTAGTGGTAACCCTGGTGTGTTCACACAAGCAGTCTGTTGAGCAGCCTAAAACACACCAAACAATGCCAGATGCCTAACAGGAAGCAAAGCCGGTGGAGATCTGTCAAGCAGTTAGGTACAATACAGTCCCTAAGTGTTTGGATGGTGGCCAATTTTGTGTTGTTTGTGGCTCTATACTATACAATTTGAAATGAAGCAATGACTAGGTTAAATTGCTGACTTTCTACTTGAAAGGTCATTCTTTATCATAAATTAATTTGAATATTTCTCCACCTGATTCAAGGCCAGGAGATTTTAGATTTTATTCTAAGGAAGCATGGGAAGTTCCTCATTTGTGACTGTGTCATTAACTCTGGAA